TAAGGGTATCGGAACGTATCAGCTGAGGTTCTGCAATAGTTGTTCTGGATACTGGAATTCAGACAATAGAGCAGAGAATATGCTTATTAAATTCGCTGCTGACGCAAAGCAGAGACAGACTGCATGCACATTTGGAGACAGAACTAGAAATCAAAATGTTTTTCACAAATTGAAGGAAAAGTCTGAAAAACATATAGTGGCTGTTTAGTAAGTGTGAAGTTTTAATGATAAGTAGGAATTAGCAGCTGCATAATAGAAGAATGAGCAGCTGATTGGCTTAGAAACAGTTCAAGAGGGCATAGGGATCTACAAGCTGAACCTGAGCAGTAACATCAAACTGATATGAAGGTGGTTAATAAGATGCAAGAGTGCATAAACAAAAATTTAACAGCAAGACACGTGGAATAGTCCTTACTGTCTACCTTGTCCTGGTAAAGTTTAATTAAAATTACACGTCTTGATTTGGATACAGTGCTTCAGCAGAAACCGAATCATTTGGAGAGACTTCCAGAGCGCAATGCACAGAGCACTAGGAAATACAGTCTAACAGGGAAGATTGAAAGACTGAGTTATTTAGCTTGAGAAAAACTGTCAGGACATCTGACAAGGCTGTTGCACAGTGGAATGGAACAATAAATACTCCGTGGTAGGTCACAGGTTTAGACAAGATGATCTTAAATTACAACACATGAGATTCAAGTTGCAATTTAGGAATGATTCTCTAAATATAAGGCGATGAATCACTGAGGAGATGATGGTGCTTCCACTGTTGGGGATCCTTCAGGACAGGCTAAGCAAGAATGGCACAGATTTAGAGATTTCATCTGTAACCAAAGAGGTGGACCAGATTGAGCTTTTTCCAGCTCTATTTTTGTATGAGATTATGACTGTGTATTTAAGTGTCTGTGCACAGATTCTTGGACAGGTCTAACCAATTAACTTGATCATGATGGTGTGCACCATTTCTTTGCGATAGAAGCACCTGAAAAAAAAACATCAAGCAGTGCTGTCAGCTCCTGCAGTTCAACATTGGCTCAGCTCCTGAACTTGTACAATGACAAGAAATCCTTTCTTCTCATGTGGAGGAACGAAAGTAAATTTCCAATCTTGCCTTTGTGAAGGAGAATGTGAAAACCTGACTCCAAATGGCTTAAAACATCAGATGACAAAGAAAAAGGGACAATGTTTCTACATCATTAGATTCCCATGGCTTGAGGAGGGGCCTGACTCATGGTTTTTTCAATGGAGTTGGCATTAATGGTAATAGGCTAATTTGAATAGACAAATTTAGAAATTGATATTCCTGAACTTCCTATTATGGAGAAGGCAATACTGCCTGAACAGCAGGTCTATTTCAGGAAATTAAAACCTCCTCGTATCCTTTCAGATGACTTGATTGTTTCTACATTTCAGTCAATGTTACACAGGGGACATAGCACAATGCTTCATGTAGTAGCAGAAAATTCACCTAGTAGAGAATTGTGAAGGCACAGTGTATCTGCTGAAAGACTCTCCAGCTGGGAGCAGACATAATGGGGGCACAAGGAATTCATTCTTGGGCAATCTCTGTTGGGAAGCTGCTGCCTCAAATTAACAGTATTTCTCCCACAGGGAGATCTAGGTAGAAATTGCATGCAGAAGAACAGCTTTCTACTGCACCAAGCAAGACCAGACATCTGCATTTTCAAAGGACTGGCAAGTTGAAATACATTGTAGAATTTAACATGAGATTTCTTTGGAGTTTCTGCCTACAGAAACAAAGAGAACACAAAACTAATTCCAAAATCTCATTCTCCTAAATACTCCTTTATTATAAAACATATTTTCTCTCTTCTACAGTCTATGCCCTTATCGAAACATAGAATGACAGAATTGCAGGGTTTGGAAGGAGTCTTGAGAGATTCATGGATTGAAAAGTTGTAGGAAAGATTTTTATGATTCTATAGCTTCTGTCTTCCAGCACTTCCCTCATTAGGATCTAGGAGAAATGTCATGCATGTTTTACAAAGCTCTGATGATATTACAGTTGTGGATAAGGTGTACATAAGTGCTATTTAGGCTTGGTTGGCCTTGGTAAGCTTTCAAGAACATTAAAGCTGTCCTATGGGAGATCTTCTCTCCACTTTTGGAAACTTAAGAAATGGGTAACAGACAACATGGGGATGTCTTGAGTACTGCCATTTCTATGTCCAACACTTGTTTTTCTTCTGTACCTTTCTCCCTGCATTTAAAAACCTCAATACAATAAAAGCTTTTTATTGTCCTTCTGATAATCCAAACTTCTCCAAGGACCCCATCTGAGACAACCTTTCCATTTTGCTACTCTTACTCCATCTACTATCAGTATGGCCAGAAGCTTCCCTTGCCAAGCAATAACTCTCCTGCAGATTCTATAGTGATCGTTTGTTGCTTGAACATCTCAGTTCACCAAAGAGCAAGAGGATCTTTATAGCATTCAGGAAAGAAAGGGAAGGAGAGACGTTTAATGGAGCAAAGAAGTCCTGCATACCTACACTGTCTCTTAGCTTAATATCTTCCAGAAACATCTGTGATTCAAATTCCTGACAGTGAAAGTACAACAGTGGGAGCTTTGGCTCCACAGCTGCAGGGTGAAAAGTTCTTCCTGGAAATCCTTGGAGCACAGTATTGAGCTCCCCAAGCTGGATTTAACCCAGTGAATGTAAGCAAGTCCTAAAGTTATATCTAAAAAGGAGGATCCTCCTTGCAAGTGTTAACAACAGTTATAATGATCCATACGTAAAGAGCAGAGACCACAGAGAAAAATCTATTACTGTTGCTGAAAAAAAAAAACCACCAAAAATAAAAAACATAGCAACTCATGAGAGTTTTACTTTTATTATTCATGTTGCTATTAGGAGTTGCATTATTACTAGATCCTGGCTGGCACAGATGGCTGCTACGCTTTGAGGTCTGCTTTAGTCATGTTTTTAGCTGCTTTTTTTCTGCAGATTTTATAGGGTTTTGGTTGATTTTAGCTTCCTTCATTTGCTTGATAATTGTTTTGTTTTTTGTTTTAGTTTTTACTTAATTAGCAGGAATATGTTCATGTTTATAGGGTGCTTTATTCACTCTTTTTGAACTTGTGGTAACCAGAATCAGCAATGCAATTACACCTTCTGTTGTTTGCATGGGGCTGGCTCAGGCCAGATGCTTTGATGGTGGCAGCAGCCTTCCTGGAATATCAGTACCAGTTTGTTGGCACTGCTGAACAGTTATTTCTCACCTTTTGGTAACTCTCCCCTTCACAAAGCATCTTTCTCAGCATCACTTTCATTTGTTGTTAAAAAGCAAGGGGAAACTCATGTGAATGATTTTCTTACCCTGAGCTGCTTCTTTAAACCACTGCATAAAAACTGTTGAGGTTTTTTGCTTCCGAGGCTCCTCTTCTTCAGATTCATCTTGGTCGTTATCAACACTACTACTAATTTTTGCTCATCTAACAGATTATCCACATGCAGCATCTTCCATTTCCTCATGCCTTACAATCACTCCCTTCTTAATAAAGACAAGCAGCAGGAACAGGTGATTTGCACTACTGTACCTGAACAGCTTTTGTTGTAGATGCGACTGAGAAGAACCAACTGATTTTTACCGTCTATTAGGTAGAAGCTCAGGCTCCATTATAAACAGCCATGTAGTTTACCCCAGCTACATCTTCACATCACCTTTATAGAAGATGAGAGTGTGTGTTTAAGCAGGGCCTGCTTTCATCTGAATGAAAGAACATGAGGCAGGAGGGGAGGTGCAGTATGGTCCCATATTGATCCTGGTCTGCAGGACCATTACTTGGCCACTGACAGCAGAGACAGACAAGCTATACCTGCTAGATCTGAAGCACACTGTTCAGCCTCCTTACAGGTGTCCACACACTTGCATGCCATACATTGATTTTCAGTGGTCTCCCTCAGTCCTGCTCTTTAACTGATAAATGGGTGGCCTATTGGTTAAGATGATTCACAAAAAGCATTATGTCCTGCCCATGGTTGCTGCAACTCTTCTCTCCCTTCCTCTAAATATCACCATCCATTTAGGCAAAGAAAAGTTTTGAAATATGTTTTGGGAGGAGGGAAAGCTTCATTTTGCTGAAAAAATAGCTGCTTTTCAGGCATGTTTTAAAAATTTAGTTTTGGAAACCTGTGGGTCTCAGGTCTACCACTGCAGGAGGCAAGTAATTAATTAACATTGTCTCAATGCCATAAGATAGCTTTCAGTATTATAACCAAAGGGAAAATATCATGAATAAGATGCACTAACTTACAGCAATTGGCTCCTAATCTTCTGCCATAGGATTTGGGTAAGTGCCTTTAAAGTCCATAAGAGTTGTTTGCATGCTGCAGCAAGGGACCAGGTTCCCCAGCTTTTATCTGCTCTTCACATTAGCCTGAGTGAAAGTCAGACAAAATTATAACCCCAGCTCCAGATGCCCCCATAATTTGGGTCTGGCTGGGAATGTAGGATCTCAGGCCCATCTCTAATTACAACAGACAAATTATTGGATAATTTCTTCTGCTTTATCTTTGCAATCCACTGGAGCAGTTAATTTCTCCAAAAGCAGGCACTTCCTTTCTTATTAGAAATTCCTTTTTGGCTTTTTTAATACAAGTTTGTTATTATTAAACATGCACACACATTCACACACACACCAAAATTTTTGCTGATTAGGCATTATATAACTGGTACCTAACATAAAGTGAGATGTTTAACAGAAAGTTGGCCTTAGACACAAGAAGGTTTGCCACTTCAAGGAAGCAGTCTTAGCTGATTTCTTCTCCTCATCTTTTTTAAATTTTGTTTTAATAACTACAGCCAAAATTTGAAGAGTAGAACAAGTACAATATCAATCCATATGCTTCTACAGTAAAGAGTCATTGGACAGAAAGCTGAAAGAGGAAAGGAGTGGTGGCAATGTATTTGGATATCCATTTGGGAAGCAAATTACTTGTTCGTGCTTTTGCAGCTTTTGTTTCTTTCCTGCTAACAATGAAAGTGAGATACTCAGCAACTACTTAATCAGATATTTATATTAACTTTTCTTCCCTTTTTGGATATTTTTTCCCATCCTGTACATGTGTACTACTAGACACTTTTTTCTATAACCCAACTGAAAGTAATTTCAGCCATCTATTTAGGGTTGTAAAAACAGATTCAGGAGTTACAGAAAGTTTACAGTTCACATAGATGAAATTAAAACAGGAACAGGATTTGCAATAGATGGAAGCTTAGTTTGTGGTTCTGCAGTTACTCAATCATGGCTGGACACAAAGCTCTGGATTCTTGTTTCTTTCCCATATTGCCTTCATGCTCTGGTTCCTCTGTCACACACGCACACACAAGCTGAAATCATATTTTCACAAAAAAAAATTACATATAATTATCCTTTGGTTTGTATTGATTGAGCATTGCATTATTCAGTTTGAAGTTAGTAACCCCAGGGGATTGCCCTGAGACTTCTAGGTAAGTAACAAATGCACCTACAAATTCTGAAGCTGTTAATTGTAATTCCCACTACTAAATAAGCAGTATTACTTAGGAAGTCCTGGCCTCTTGGATTAGCTGCAGAACTGCATGCTTCTCAGTTGCATAATATTTTGGAAATGTACGCTTCATTGAAGCGTCATTGATTTTCAACTAAAGTGAAGATGCCCTCATTTAATGCTTTCTTAAGAGAATTACAAAGGATGCTGGAGAGGGTTTGGACAAAGTCATTATTAATTGTACATCACAAAATTGGGATTTATATATTTTTAATGCAGAAATTCTTTACAGTTCCTAAATCAAAACACTGTTCTGAAATTATGTCTAATTTTATAAATGGAAAGATTCTATTTTTATTCAAGACTTTTAAATTCCTTTGCTTTGTTCAACAAACCCCTGCACTTGCTGTGAGAGGATTGCTGATTGCTTTGTCAGCAAGACCAATGATATTCAATCTTTGATTTCTGATTCATTTGCTTCTTCCTTCCCTTTGATGAATGGAATAAATGTCTAGCTTTCTCCTCTCCTTTCAAAAAAATTTCTCTCGCCTCTCACTTCCTTAGTAGTGAGACCGTTTCATGTGAAACATTCTGCCTGTCTTTTTAGACTATCTCCTCCTCTTCACTGAGCTCAGAGCTGTGTAAGTACTTTACGATCATGCATTAGAGAAAACATGATTTTCTCTCCCTTCAGTTGTTGGCTCTGGTGTTAGGGAATCAGTTTTGCTTCTGACCTTGATGCCCACTGGCTTTCCCTTGTCTGCTTTTTCATGCGTTCATGTTGGCATTGCTCTCGGAGGTGACCAAATCCATCTCCACTCCAGTAGCAAATGAGTAAGAAAGTCAAACATCCTGAAATACATGCATATAAAGGATGCTGTGAGGTTATGAAGGTAATTTTGAAATGGACAGTTAGGATCAATTGATCAGGATGTTAGTCTATGAGCTTCAGTGAGCCCTACAGAATCAAGGTACAGCTTAACTACAAGCAGTGACAGACAGCTGACAGGTACCACTCAAATTTGAACAAAGCTAATCAAGAATGGAATGTTCTTTACCCATCTAACTACTGTCCTGAGTTGAAGAGGCAAAGAGCCTATGGATGTTCCGACTTGGCCCCATGACAACCATCTACGTGACTCCAGCTGCCATACTGCACCTGCAACTTTCCTCATGGAATTTTGGATGGGACAAGGGAACTCCTAAGTCACTAACTGCCAGTATTTGGCATTAAAGTGGTACCAAAGGTATCTGAGCCTGCTCAGTTGTCGCAATGCCCTTTAGTCTCAAACCCAAGATCCTGAATCTGTGACTTATTAACATTTCAGGAAGTTCCAGCCATACTTTCACACTTGGTATTACGCAAACTTCAGAAAAAGGCACATCCTTACTGCCTAAATATAATTTAAACCAAAATAGAGCAAATCACAAATGAAAAAGAATGGACTACTAGAATCCTAGCACATGGCACATGACATACTACATGTTTAAAAGTGGAGGAGTGGTTCTGCGCGATGAAGAAACTTGCTGAAGATTGGGCAGCAAGTTTGAGGGGGAAAAAAAAAATGGTTAATGCTTAGAGTCATCACAGTCATCTTGCTATCTTACAACTGCTAGAGCTTCTATTATTTGGCTAAAATATGTTAAAAGTAAAGTTCATCTGAGTATGAGGATTATACTATATTTTGTTTAACTTGATGCTAAAGGTTTAGGTAACAAAGATCTCGGTCCTGTGAAGTCTTGACTAGTATACTTAGTCACTTTGAAAAAGCATGACTGCTTCCTCTGAAATGCAAAGTACAGTCACCTACAACCCACCTCAGTAAGTGTTACCCTCAGTATGAGAAAAAGCTTGCCTCATCTAACTGAAAAGATCTTAAAATCATAGAATCACAAGGTTGGAAAGGACATACAAGATCATCCAGTCCAACCTTCCTCCCATTACCATTGCTACCACAAGCCAATAAACTATATCTCATAGCTCCTCATCCAGATGCCTCTTGAACACTGCCAGGGACAGCAACTCCACCACCTCTGTGGACAGGTCATTCCAGTGCCTGACCACTCTCTGAGAGAAAAAGTTTTTCCTTATGTCTAATCTAAACCTCCTCTGGTGCAACTTGTAGCCACTTTCTCAGGTCCTATTTGTTGCCAGGGAGAAGATACCAAACCCTTCCTCATCACAACCTCCCTTCAGAAAGTTGTAGAGTGCAATAAGGTCTCCTCTGAGCCTCCTCTTCTCCAGACTAAACAATCCCAGCTCGCTCAGTCTCTCCTTATAAAGGTTGTGTTCCATACCCCTCACCAGTTTCGTTGCCCTTCTCTGGACACATTCCAGGGACTCTTTCCAGATTCAGGTTTTGCACCCTCTCTGAACAAGTGAGAAGTGCAAAGATCTTTTGGTCATGCACTTCACTAGACAATGCAGATAAGTTCCATGCACAATTTTTGCACTAAGACTCTCTCACTAACTATCCTTCTGAAAAAACTGTATTTAATTGGGTATACAGAAATGCAAAGGAATATGTACCCAGAGACCTGCAGGTGAAGCCGAGATCACAGGTGTGTCATAACTGTGCAGAAGCTTTTATAAAGATTTCTGCAATGTGAGGAAAAAAAAAAAAATCAAAATATTGATTGCAAGATTTGATCAGTTGCTCTTTTCAGAAGAAATTTCAATCTGATTCCTCGTGTTATTGATTTTTTTCTTGCTCTTTGAGTAATTATTTTTAGTTATTCTTAGCTGATTGCCTCACTTTGAACTAGTATCAGATATCAGATTGGAAGGGTTTTATTTAAATGTGAGAAAATATTAGATTTAAGAAGGATTAGAAAGTCAGATCTGAAAGAGAAAGCTGATGCGCGTCCTTCCGAGGAAGAAAAGAAACAGAAGCACTTTCTACTTCCTAATATGGCAAGGAAGGCCACACAAGGGTGAAAAATAGTAGAATGGGCTTTATTATGTTCAGAGGTGAAAGATAACTGCCCTGATTTCAGCTGGGACAGAGTTCATTTTCTTCATATTAACTGGTATGATACTATGATTTGGTTTTAGGAAAAAAACAGCATGATAACCTTGTTGCAAAGACTAAAGAGTCTTTGCTGAGCAGCACTGTACAGAGTCAAGCAGACTTCAGTCTTTCAGCTTCTAAACAATCCTGCCAGCAAGGATCTGGGGGTACAAGTAGCTGGGAGCGGATGGAACCAGGACAGCTGACCTGAACTGGCCAAAGGAATCTTCCATACCGTACAACCAAAATCTACCAAGACATACAAAATATACACATACCAAAAACCATAAAAACAGGGAGTAGCCTGGGGGGCTGCAGCTGCTCAAACACTGGTTTAGCATTTGTCAGTGGTGGTGGAACAACTGCTTTGCACATCACTTTCTTTGCATATATATACACACACACACACCCCTAATTATTATTATCATAATTATTATTCCTCTCTTCCTTTTCTCAGTAAACAGTTTTCATCTCAACCCATGTTGAGATTTTTTTTTTCCCCAATTCTCTCCCCCATCCCACTGGGAGTGTGCAAGTGAGCAAGAAGTTGTTTAGCTACTTCCTGGGTTAAGCCACAACAATAACTTGTCACATCTTTGATTCATGGTGTGCTTTATAGAGCTACTTACCTAGATATTGTTTCTAAATATAGTCAGAACATTTGTAAATATATAACACATCCTTATTGCAACAGATTTTTTTTTATGATTCAGCAAAACGTTCAGTAATGTTCCAAGTTTCCAGATATATCAATAAAGGCTGGTAAGTGCGCAAACAAGCTTAAATGCTTCCTGATCTTTACTCCGTTAAGAATGACTAAATTCAAAACCTACTGATAGCTTCAAAAGCCACTGCAGTTTAGGATCAAGGACACCAAACACAGGTCACTGTTAATTGACTGAAAGCACAAGTACTGCTTTACAAACGGTGAAATTTCACCTGTGTATATAGTTCTTCTCCCCTTTTCTCCCCTTGTAATAAATTAATATTAGTATTTTCTGAAAGTGATAAAAATCTCAGCTTTTTTTTGTTACCCTAGTACTTATGCAGAACTTGTTGACATCACATATAGGTACTTGGATGGATCTAAATAAGCTTTTTTTTTCAAACCTCATCCCAAAACACAAAACCAAAAAAACATTGAATGAAATATTCAGCTTTTGCTTAGACAGCCTGTGTGTTTCAGGTACATCACAAACTATTGCACAGAAGACTTATAATGCTATAATGTGACAGAAAGAACAGCAATAATAGTGAAGAAGCACAATCCTAAGCTACAGCAAATAAAAACAAGCCTAAATGAAGGAGTCATACACCCATAAACAAAGCAAGAAAAACTACCCACCTTTAGAAGACCCCCAATAGGCAGGAATCTCCAGTAAATTGCTCTCGTTTCCACTGCCAACCCTTAAATGAGGTCTGGGAAGAGGTGCATCCTGGCTCCACCCCTCCCAGTCACTCAGGTGCATTGCTTGCACCTGAGTTCTGCTGGGTTGGTCCTGCCTTCCCACCAGGTGCTCAGTGACTGGTTCAGGCCATGACTTAGCATTTCTGCTACAATGCTCTAGCTTATTTTTTTCCATAGAAAACAATGATATTCATCAAAGAAGTCAATCATATTAAACACATGCATAGGTTTCCTCTTAAGATAATTATAGTGTACTACATTTATGGAATATTTGATACCATAAAATAAAGTGGCATGGTTTTGAGACCTCTGGGGTAGTATAGGGAGAAGATCCACTCTTCAAAGAACTTACACATTCATATGTAAAATATTGTTTCATTGCAGAATGTTGTACAAGAAAGCATAAGAAAGATGTGGAGCTGTTGGAATACATCCAGAGGAAGACCACAAAGATTATCAGGGGGTTGAAACAACACTCATATAAGAAAAAACTGAAAGAGCTGGGATTGTTCCGGTTGGAGAAGATAAGGCTCTGAGGAGACCCCACTGCGACCTTCCAGTACTTGAGTGGAGCTATAAGCAGGAAGGGGACTGAAATTTTACAGAGATATATAGTGATAGGACAAGGAGAAATGGCTTGAAACTAAAAGAGAAGAGACTTAGCTTATACATTGGCAAGAAATTCTTTACTCAGAAGGTGATGAGATACTAGCACAGTCTGCCAGAGAAGCTGTGGATGTCCCATCCCTGAAGGTGTTCAAGACCAGGCTGAATGGTGCCCTGGCCATTCTGATCTGGTGGAAGGTGTCCCTGCCCATGACATAGGAGTTGGAACTAAATGATATTTGGGGTCCCTTCCAACATAAGCTGCTCTGTTCTTCCGTGACTCTATGTAACAATGAGTAATCCAGATTCACTGCCTAATGTGTACACAAACGGAGGATAATTTCTGTACCTTTTCTTCCCATGTGAAGCATTGAGGTAAAAAGAAACAGAAAGTTGGCAGTAATTAACGAAAAAAATGTAGATTATTTTGATAAATGATAACTTATTTTCTCAGCAAAAAGGTTGTAGGCAGTTGGTAGAGAAATAGTCTCATAAGTATTTCCAAATATTTATACTTTATCTGCTTAAAACTTTAGGCATTTTTTACATTACTATGAAATTTGAAAATTTCAATGTAGAGATTTTCTGGAATCACGGAATCACAGAAGAAGAGACTGGAATATGACTTTAGAGAAAACCTAGTGCAACTAATAAGGATGGAGTTTCCATAGACTCTCTGATCCTCTGATCAAATTGCTCTAGTAGTTGACAACCCTTCCAAATAAATAGATAAATTCTTTATACCTAATGACAATTTCCCTTTTTGCAGTTTGCATCTAATGCCTCTTGCACCAACTGTAGTCCATGAAGAGTCTTCCTCCATCTTCTCTACTCCCTCCCATACTGGCTGAAGAGAGCCCTCTGCATTCTCTTCTTAAGGCCAAACAAACCCAGCTGCCAATCCTTCTGTCAAAAATTCAGTTCCCAGAATAACTTCACTCGAGAACTCTTCCCTTCATGGTTATGAGGACAAAGGATGATGAAGTATTATTTCAGGATGGCACAACTAGAATTTCTTAAATGATGTTACAGAAACTGACAAACACGACTGTGTTAGAGGAAAAAAAATCTGAGATTATGTTCTTCTGATTAATTACAGAACTGGGAAAAATAGCTCTTTGAAGAAGATTTAAGATATTTGCTTGCAGAAGCATTACTCAGAGCTAGCTTTATTTTTTAAGGACGCAATTCTTCTGTCAGTCTGTAATACGATACTGTGACTAGGTAATATATCTTCAGACTTTACAGACTCCTGACCTGACAACTCTTTGACACAGTAGATCTTAATAGATCCTTCTGCATTAATTCTAACTAATGAGCAGATGAATAGTTAATTAAAAATGCTCCACATAGGCTTTGGCACACTAGACCATTACAGCTTCACTGTGGTTCCTGCTTTCTAATAGATGCAGAGAACTTGCACTTTTTCATTAGAACATAATGGCTCAAAAAGCTCCATTACAGTTTACCAGACCATTCATCTATGAACTAAACAGTATTTAAATATTTCTTCATTTGATTTACTGTGGTGTGTGATCTTCTGTGCCTTCACTGAATTCATATAGAAAGAGCCATTATGTCATTTCTTTAGTCACTGATCTAGCAGATCATTAAGAAGTTTTTTGTACCATAGGCATTAAGCTTAAAGGGCTTGATTTTTTCCTAGTGTTCTGACTGCTGGTTTTCTACAGAGGGGGGAAGCCCTTTGTAATGGATGGTTCTTGAAGTGAAGTATGTGCAGCATGAAGCCATGTGCAGCAGCGCATATCAAGTTAACATGAGGTCTTTTTTATCTAAATAGAATCCTGTTTTTACTTCCTGAATTATACATTCAACAGCTTCTGATGACACTGCACATTTTAAAAGTGCTGGCAGGTGTAGAAAGATGTAAAATGACTGAGTTTTGATTCATACTATAAAAGAATGTAGTCCTCAACTCCTTACTGAACTCTCAGCATGGTTCACTTGTGGGTAAATCTTCTGCTAATGACCCGTGGAAAACAAAGAAAGAACTCAAAATGGTAAGGGCAGCATGACTGGTCTCAAACACCTATAGAATTCAGATTCAACCAAATCAAGTTTTCAGTCATAGTGATATTAATTTCCTTCAACTTAGTATTTATGAGATGTAGTCCTCATGACCCTTGTCATGATCAAGTCTTCATATAGGAATAGACTGATTTTATGTTCCTTCAAAGAAATTCAGAATGTTTGGAGAATAATTGGTGCTCTCATCAATAATGACTGCATCTGGCTTCTTTAAGCCAAAAGTATATTATCCCTTTTCCAGCACTTCAAATTTTAGGCTATTTCTTTAGAAAGAAATATTTTGCAAAAGAAATTTCTCTAACTTTTAAAATTTCTCTTCTTGAAAACTGCACAAAAATAAATACTTTTTTTTTCTGTTAGTATTGTATCATGAAAATGCATCAGAACAGTATTCTTGGAACAAAAGACAAGCAAATCACACTGGATCAGATTACTTGCCATTAAGTTGCAAAAAGCAATGGTCAATTCCAATGTTCATTTTTTCACAAAAATTCAGTAAAGCCATTTACCTTCAAAATTTTTTATGGTTAGAAACTAATCAAGTGCTTAAAAGAAACCTGGAGAAAGAACACAGACGTGATGATGTTACATAAAAAACCTGGCTTAGATAAATTATCTGTCTTAAGCACCTGAATTTACTTATCTTTCGGTTTAAAAATATACCCTATCTAATACTATTCTATTTTGTGGGATATCTTTCTATAGTTTGGATGCTTCTCAGTGGAATCAAATATACTGGTTAGATTAGGTGAGATTCTTGAGAGATATTTGCTCGATTATAAAAAATAACACTGTAGAGAGAATTACCAAACCAATAGAAACGAGGAAGAAATGAGTCATGGCAATTAACTTTCTACAGGACTCTCATGTGTCAGAACCTAAATGTTACTCCTTGACAGTTTTAGCTAAGGTATAATATTCTACCTACAGTTAATAGTAACAAATGCTCTATTAGCAAAGCAGAACATTTAGAAATATGATAAAGATAATGCTCAAGAGAGCTGAACAGCTATCAGGATTGATTATTGTTCTACTTTCATGTCCAAGTTTAAGGCTACATACTTTGTTATACTCTGCTTTATTTTGGAAGTCATTATTGGAAAAAAAAAAAAGAAGAAGAAAAAAAAAAACCTAGCAAAAAGTATTGTCTTCCTTCCAGTAATATAAGAATTCTACATTGGAAAACTACAGGGACACTGGCCAACGAGCAATAAAAAGAGATCAAGAGAACTTCTGAAACATTAATGATGTCCTTCTGCCAAAGCTTGTAAAAATGTGCTAAAACTTTGAGTATTCATGAATTTGGCAGCTTGAGATTTACCTCACCTCATCAACTCCCTGGGCTAAGTTTTCACTTACCTAATATTTTTCCCAGACGGGATCTCGGTAGGATTATGAGAGATAAGGAGGAAAGACACACATTCCTTAGCCAAGAGATAATTAAACAGACTTATCAAAGCCAGACCTCTGACTGGACCATGAAATCTACTGCCAGATGTTGCAGATACATCTGTCTAAGTACTAACAGGATCCCTCTCATCAAAGTATCTAAACATTTCACAAATATTAATGTTTTCACTCCAGGAAAACTATATTGTTTCACACTAACCTAGCACCAGGCAGAGCTGGACAAATAACAGGAGCAAAGTAGGTATTTTTTGAATTTTGTTTTCTAACGTTTCTGTACATAAGAGGGAAAAAAAAAACCAAACACCTTAAACTCTCTAAAGCTTGAAAATCTACAGACATATTGCTTCTATGTTGATGAATTTTTGCTCCATAGTCCTGCACCTATTGAACAATAGGTCACTGACAAATGGTGAACCATTTGTTAATGGTTTCCTCTAATATATTTTAGGTCTACAAGTCTTAGTGCAATAGTAGTAACTGCGGCAAAAATATTGAAAGTCTACAAGGCAAACAAAAGATCATATATACACTACACAGATACCTACAAATATAATTTTTTTTTTAAATAAACGTGTATTAAAAAGTGTGAATTTAATATATTTTTATATAACTTGCAACGTGTGTGTATGTATTCCTAATTACAAATAGCTAGCTTATTTTTCATCTTTTTCATGATGCATAGGGCAACAATTTGAATTGGCCAAATTTCTTGTACTACACTGAAAACAAAGTATGGGAGAGACAAAATTCCACTTCTGAAATTACTTCAGATTCTGTAGGATACAGTATATTGCCATCTGCACAGTGCATTGGGACAGAGGTAACGGAAAAGGCAAGATAGGGAAATAGTATCAAATCCTATCCTTTTAGAAAATGGCATCTCATCTGCAAAGTTGC